GCAACAGTGGGAGCGCCGCAGCGAGTTAACTCTGGGGAGTGTTAACTTATATGATATGTACATACATACATATTCTCATATACACGCAAAGCTTACCGACTTCACTTAGATTCTTGAAAATTTGTATGCATATTTCGTAGATATCAGGGTATTGTGCAGTGAAATTTAGTTCATTATAATTAAATAGGTTGTTTTTATATCGATATGATTAATTGATTTTTGCTTCGAAACCTTTTTCTTGTATTTATAAAGCTACTCATAGTACCATGAACTGAACTTAAAACTAAGAAACGGGTAACTTTTGTAAAGAGTTGATCCAATTTTAGCCAAGGTAAATAATTGTGTTTGTTCAAGAGTTGATGCAACCAGGATTTTGCATTTCAATACATTTTTTTTTTTCAATGCCCATTTATTCCTCGGTCTATGCTGAATAAGTTCAAGATTCACTTTGTGCAAAAACTGTTCAATGGGACATATGTACATTCGTAGGCTCAGACGATTCATTTCTTTACTCCGAAAGTCCAGAAACATTTTTTGCACTTGTGAACAAATTAAAGTAAAAGTTCAGTGGTAAGGTTTACTTCGCCGCAAATGTATGTATATTGATTGAAATTGTGTATGTTATTGATAAAATTTGCAAAAAGAGCCGAAATTAGCAATTTAAAACTCAGCGGACCATTATCGCAAGTTGCCGACGTGTATTCGTAACATTTTAAAATAGAAGTGGTTTTTTTTAGACAGCCGTTGCCCCTCGGCTGGCAATGGCAAGCGCTCGCGTGTGTTTCTGTCTTGAAAAAATATTCTCATAAGAAACCATCAAACAAAATAATCAAGGCACGCACCACAAACTGAAAAAGATCGGCCAAATACCTAGCTAAAATACGATTGTATGCATTCGAGTACCCATCATTTGATTAAGACAGGATATTCGTGATAGAAAAAAGTAAATATTTCTTTTCTTCATTCCATACATGATTCTACTTTATTATTCAGGAATTGAACCGTTTTTTTTTTTTTAATTTAGCAAGAGCAGCAAGAAGGTATTTCACTTCAGCTAAACTACTTTAAGTTGCCCGGAGCAAAATTTTGGAACACGTCATCCAAGATTTTCGTAACTCCATCTGTTGAGACAGTTTCTCAACGGATTAAAGCGCCCTGATTTTCTTAGAATTTTGAACGAAAACTTCGCCAGCTGGATGTGAATTCAGGTTTTATTTTGCATAGTTTCGATACATGTAATTATACATGTATGTATGTTAAAATTCCTATTATGGACACAAACTTAAATTAGATCAATTTGAGAAATATGATATCGTTAAATTATACATACTTTAAGGTATAAAAACCAGGACGTATGACGGGATCTTGAGTAATTGCTTTCGAGCCACTTTATGCACGAACTCATTAAAGTACAATTGGCGCAATTCTAGAACTCCTCTTACGGCTCGTGACAGAAGTCATTTAAATTTATTGATAAAAACGAAAGTAGTAGATTATTCTAGTATAATATAATATATTTTAGACAGTGGCGTCAACAATCCACCCCGCAGTATGGCAAGAAGTTTTTTCTTCGCCCTACTCCACATTTTGAGACACGTCTAAAACCGCAATCTTTGAAACCGGTCATTCTTGTATACCACTAAGAGTCTGGATTTTTGTACTACGTACCTGCCCATCCTTTGCTAACCTCGTTTCAAGTACGTTGCCTCGTGGCCAGACATTGCGAGGGCATGAAGGGTCAACCAGAACAACTAAGTCCCCGATAAACAATGGCCTCACCTTCTCATGCCACTTTGTTCTGCATGTTAATGTCGGCAAATATTCCATCAACCAGCGTCTCCAAAACATGTCTGCAAACCGTTGGGATTCAAGCCAACTACTTTTCAGCACAACTGCGCTATCGTCCAAGAGCGCATATGGCTTCATGCCGCTTGAGCTCCCCAGCAAAAGGTGATTTGGTGTGATCGCTTCAGCGTCGCTGTTATCGAGAGGAACGTACGTTAAGGGCCGCGAATTTATAATATTTTCAATTTCAGCCATCATACTTCTCAAAAGCTCTTCGTTTGGCGAGCGAGTAGGTGTTATTTTATAGAAAACATTTTTTATGGAGCGCACTAAACGTTCCCAAGCGCCTCCCATGTGTGGCGCAAGAGGCGGATTAAAGTTCCATTTCGTATGCGAGGAAGTGAAAGTGCGAACAAGCTCGTTTCGATTCACTTCAGCAACTGCTTGACGCAGCTCTCTCTCGGCGCCAATAAAGTTAGTCCCGTTATCGCTAAAAAACTCTCGCGGGATGCCCCGCCTCGCAATAAAATTTCGAATAGCCAATATACAGGAGTTTGTATTAAGAGAATACGCGATTTCTATGTGAACGGCTCTTATGGTTAAGCACGTGAATAAAACTCCATACCGTTTTTCCTTGTGTTGATTTATTGTAATCAAAATAGGTCCGAAGAAATCCAACCCCGTAAAAGTAAACGGCGCAACATGAGCAGCAAGCCGAGCTCGAGGCAACTTAGCCATTTGTGGCATCTGCGGTACGGCCTTTTGAATTTTACACATTTGGCAGTTTCTAATTTGCTTCTTAAAAA